ATAGTATTTATTATTTTTGTTATCAATTCTCAGGAACAAAGAAAATGTATAAATTAACTTTCATATGTTTAGATTTTATTGAAATTCTAATCTTCACTTTTTAAAAATTACCGAGGAGTGAAGGTAGATAAAATAATAGCGATAGAAAAACTGTCCTTTTGACACTTTATTTTTTTTTTTTTTTGCAGGCATGAAGGTCCAAATTTGCCAAACATTTTTTTTTTTTTTAGGAGTATAAGGGAAGTAACTCTCCTTGTTTAAGAAATGCTACAAGTTTATATATATATATATATATATATATATATATATTAGAAATCAGAACTAGTCCTTTTGCTGCCTGCCTCTCAGTATTCCTACTAACACCAGTGAGCAGCTACTCCTGGCCAAAATATAACTACCATTGTTGTTTGTGGCTTCTCGCCTTTCCAACTACTGTTTAGTCTAAGCCTTGTACATTTGCCATATCTAACAAGGTGGAATTAAACAAAATTGTAATTTAAATCTGAGCAGGTGAAGTCACTCAGTTCTTAAGAAAATCACTAGTTGTTTTGTTTTTGTTTGTCATTAAATAATTAGCTTGGGTTTGAGCCTGTCTCAAGTGGCTTGTCTATACCTTTGGTAAGTCTTTCACGTCCTGTGCCCATTGTGGTCAGTACATCTGTGTCCTTGTAAAATCTGAAAGAGATATGAATCTAAGCCAGACTGCAACTATGAATTTAAATACAAAACAAATTTATGGCCTGAATCAACAAGTGCTTTTGCTTCAAAGATGTATTTGTTTTTGTTTGTTTATTTCTGAGTGAATTGGTTTTTGCTCTTTGAAGGCCATCTTTTAAATAACCTTCATTTCTTCACGAGAGCCGCTTGGCAATTTGCAGAATAGGGAGTAACTACATTATTCAGACAGTACACTTATTCTAAAATTTGGAAACTTTCTTCCAGCTGGTCCAAGTTCTTAAAGGAATCATATTTTGATCAGTTATTTTTAAACCTGACAATTGCGATATATTTTTGATGGTGAAAAATCACAAATGATTGGGAAATTATTTAAACATTATCATCAAAATGTTATGACTTGTAAAAAAAAAAAAAAAAATATGGTGCATTAAACACAAGTAAATGAAGCTGAAAACAAAATTTTTGTATCTGAAAATTTCTTTGTTTCAAAATGATAGTTTCACTACAAGTCATTGTGCAAATCTTGACTGGTGTATTTTGGACCCAAGTCAAATAAGTTAATCTTCTCAGCAAAGTTTAACATTTATACCTGTAAAAAAAAAAAAAGAAAGGTGTGTCAAAAGAATGTTTTTTTCTTTTGACACTGCTTTTAGTGTATGCTCTCTTGGGCTTATGGCCATGTCACGTTGAAACACCGGGTCTTGTTCGATCACCGAAGTTAAGCAACGTCAAGCCTGATCAGTACCTAGATGCGTAACCACTTGGGAATACCAGGTACTTTAAGCTTGGATGTGCGGGTAGTGTAATCAATATTGGCTTGGAGTTGGAAATCCAAACCAAGTTCCAATTCCAGTTGGATTCGTTATATTCACTTATGCACAAATACTCTTGGGAAAGGTATGAATCCGCCTCTTCTCCCTCCAGCTATGGGTTAATTAGTAGGACTTGTATCAGCAAATCATTATCTCCAAATAATTATTACAATCTAAAAGTATTTTCAGGCTTTAAATAACCTGTAAAAGGTTGGTAAGCCATAAAAAAACAATTAATCAATCCTGTATACATCCTCAACAATTTTTTTATTTTTTTAAAAAAGCTATTTTTAGAATTTTGATAAAGCCCAAACATATAAAAGTGAAATCTTTTTTTCTCAAATATTGAATCCAATCGGGTGTGCAGAATGCATGGTCTATTTTTGTCTAATTCATTAAAAAGGCCAGACTATCTGTTAGCATTTGATTGCAAGGGGGAATCAGGGATTGATCTCCCCTGATTGGGTCGACTTGGTGATGGGGTGTATGATGTTGAAAGACCCGAAACTCCCTGATGAACCAAGTCAATTTACATCACTAATGACTCCTCCAGCACCTACTTAAGAGCATATATTTGAATTATACAACAAAAGATTTAAACACTATTTTATTTGTTTATTTACAAGAATAATTTTATATCTAGAAGTTTATAAAAATATGTGAACCAACTACAATGCAGTATTTATATTATAAAAAACAAAATGACCATGAAAACAATTTTTTTTTTCATAAATTTATAAAAATATCTGTGAACAAGAAAATTTAAATAAACTTATAACTGAGTCACTGTAATTATGAATTTTGGAAAAAATGCATTTTTGGGGCATTTCTTTCATTTGATCTCACCACATAAATTCACTAAAATAGTTGGTAAGCATTTGGATTTATACTTTTTTTTTTTTTTTTTTTGAGATGTGACAGCAAAAATGTTTTACACTATTTACTAAACTATTTAATATTTTTGTTATCAATTCTCTAGAAAAAAAAAGAGCATACATAAATCCAGTTTCAGATGTTTGGGTTTAATTAAAATTCTAAAAATAGCTTAAAACAATAAAAATTGCTGAGAGGGTATAAAGTAATCGCAGTATCAACAGAGAAAAATTGTCCTTTTTGGCACACTGTTTTTTAGCTAGCATAAATGTTAAACTTTACTGTTTTGTCTTTAATTTTCATCATCAAACCAGTTCTTCACTTTACCTTGTTAAATATCAATTAAAAATGGTATGACTTTGTTTCAACTTTAGGATGAGAATACAGTCTGGACACCAAACTGTGTCCTGCATATCTCATCAGAGAAAGACATCCCCAAAAAGTCATTTATCAACTTCATTTCTATGTTTTTTTCTTTGTTGTTTTTTTTTCTTTGTTTCTGACTTAGATTAATGGAATCCTGTGTTTGAAATATATCACTGTGGACTTTAGTAAAGTTTTTCCTTGCTTTAAAATTAAAATTCACAAAATGGCAGTTTAGTATGTATTTAGTATGTTTATTCAATTATAATTTTTTTTTTAATTTATTTATTTATTTTTTAAAATAAATAATTGATACTAACTAACCAAAGCTGCCATTGTTATATGCAGATATTAAATTGAAATGAAATATATACTTAGCATTTATTGCTTGGAGCTTCCAAAAAACCATAAGTACCAATGATGTACCTACAAAAGTTGCATACTACTTGTATGCTTAGTAAATTGATTTTCGTTAATGGAAATCAAAGAATATAAAACCTTGAATAGTTTTCTTTTTGTTTTTTGGGGGGTTTTTTGTTTGTTTGTTTTTTTTTTTTTTTTCTTTTTTGTTTTTTTTTTTCTTTTGCTTTATTCATAGCTGTACAAGGTAAGCATCAGATATGGAGGGAAGAACTGAATTGAATTCATCAATTAAAAAGGTGATGTCCTTGCTTTTAAACTGGCAAAAGACAAAGAAAGAGCCTTTGCTTTATTTCTGGCTCTGTCGATTATCTCCCCTTGTTTTGTATAAGTCTCATACATTAAGGAATACGTTGTATTCTTGAACCAGAAAGAGCCTTTGTGTAATTTTTTATAAATAATGCCTCTCATCCTTTTTTTTTCTTACTTTTCTTTCGCTATCAAAAACGGAAAACAAAATCCATTTTCTCTCTCTTTCTGACAAACCAAAATGTCAAATATTTCTATTTATTTAGTATGTACACTTACATATATTTTTACTCGGCCATCATAATTTTTTTTTCATGTGACTTTAAGATCTTAAATGAAGAAAAGTAAAAAAAAAAAAAAAAAAAAATACAAATTTCATGTCCAGACTTTAATCCCTTTTTTAAATTCAAAAAAACTAAAAGAAAAAAACTAAATGCTATTTTTTTTTTTTTTTTAAATAAAAGTCATGAATGGTAATTTGAATATGTGTTTATTTTCAGTGTGAACTTTTTCAATCTCTTTCCAAACTCAACTCTTTTCCTCATTTTTTTTTTTTTATTTTACCCAACTTCATATTCTATATACACCATTTTATTTTTAATTTCAATATACTATTTTCATTTTTTTTTTTTTTTTAAGTTGAGAAAATAAATAGAAAAAATATTTCTTTGTCTGAGCACATTTATGGTTCCTCCATTTTTTATGTCCTTTTTATCAACATGTTTATATTATCGTAAATTCTACCTTTACCCTCTGAGTAAATATTATAGGTCTTCAGCATGGCTATGTTTTCCAATCTTGTAAAAATTGATCTGTTCTTTTACTTTCTACAGCCTCAAAATGTCTATATGCATTGTTAGATTTAAAAAAAAAAAAAAAAAAAAAAAAAAAAAAAAATGGATATCCAGAATATGAAGTCAAATAATTTCTTTCTTCAAAATCCCTAAAAAAAATTTTGGTGTTATCTCTGAATTAGTATTTTTCTTTACTTTTTGTTTTTTTATTATAGAATCATTGTTAGTTATTTTATTGTACCAAAACTATCTGTACAAATTTTGTGTGGAAAGAAAAAAAAATGTATGAATTGTTATTTGTTTGTATTTTTGTTGTTTTCTTTTTCATTTTAAAGCCAAGTTTTTACTTATCTGTTGTTGTTTTTTGTCATTTAAAATTATTTTTTTTTAAATCAAAGCTGTGCCATTAAGATAAAAATTGAGCATAGAACATATGTCTCAAGTTATATACTATGCAACAAAGACTATTCTTTTATATTTGTTTCTTAGTCCCCTCCACTTGTCTACCTTTATCAAAACCAGATATCATAGCCTACAACAGCCATTTTCAAAAAAAAAAAAAAAAAGAACATTCCATCACTTGTTCAAGCTGTATATAGACTGTTCAGTATAACTAATGTCAAAGGTCATGGCAATCTCAATTTCACTTGCAAATTAGTCTTACAGCTATGCAAGAAACTCTTCTGGAATATTATAATAAATACAATATCAAAGTTACAAACACCATGTGTGAGTGGCTTAATAGCTAACAGCTTGGAGAATGGAATCCACAAAGTTCAAATTCTGGCAGAGAGATTTTGTGTTCACTTCACACTAATACCCTTGGAAAAGGCATAAAGTCATCTTTTCTCCCCTCCCTCCTTAAAAACATGGTTCAAATAGCAGGACATATTGTTCCCACTACACTTGGTTGGAAACCAGTCTAGGGAAAGAACAACTCTAAATTCAATATTGTACAAAAGGCAATGGGAAACTGCTCCACTATTTTTCCTAAGAGCAATCATAGCAGTATATAGTTTACAGATATTAAGTAGAGGGAAGCTGTGAAAAGCTATGATCCTTTATACCCTGAAGGAACATGGCACTTAAAGAGGAGGCATTGGTATATTTTTTCACAATAATGCCACTAAGAAAATCATGAATTCACTTTTAGCCTTTTTATAGGTAGAGTAGTTGGAACCCTTTAGCTGTGTAAGGCAGTTTATCTTGGATATTAGGCAAGCAAACCCAGCTCCATAAAAATAATTCACTTGTTTCTAAAGCCATGGCAGGATTACTTAGGGTGGTTGTAGGCTCTATACTCTACAAGGTGCCAGCTGTGAGTATAAAGCAAAAAACTACTTATAAAAATATATATATCAGCGGGTACTGAAAAGTTTGGGGCCTGACCAATAACAGACTAAAAAAAAAAAAAAAAATCTAATCCATTACTTAGTGTGATTGCAGACCTTATAGTCTACAGAGTGTCACATGTGGATATAACTTTTATGAACAAGACCCTCCCTACATAAGAAAGCCCGAGAAAGAATGGAATAAAAAAATAAATAAATAAATAAAAAAACGGTGGGTATTTGGATAGATTTTGAGAAGTGGGTCAGACCAAGAACTCTCACACAAAGCATTTGGGTTACAATTAGTAAATTAGGACTCACAGAATATTTACTGTTAGAGCGAGTTTGATCATTAGTGAGGTCTCAATTCCTCTGACCTTGTTCTAAACTAAACTAAGCTTAGTAACTCTCAATCCTGCTAGGGTATTAGTGATAAGGATTACCTCACAGACTAATTGTTGTTCTTTGTTTTGTAAGTGTTTTAACATGCCTCCCCATGGAGTCATAGTTAACAAACCTATAAAAACTTACAACTGGAATAAGTTTGATCCTCACTAGGTGCTTCCATGAATAAATATGACCTTGTACTGAACTGAGCTAAATTATTATTTCACATTTCAAAGCCGCAAGTGGTATACAGTGGATTCCAGTTAAATAGAAATAGCAAACTTAGTATTTCCAATTTCACAAGAAAATCAACTTTGTCCTTTTTATTCAAAAAGGGATGACTGTTTATAGAGACCAAACTTCATGGTCCTGACAGGTTCTGCCTAAATGAATATAGTATCATGGTAAATATTATTAACTAGCAGAGGTACCAGTCATTATCCAGGAACTAATTCTGTCTATTTAGACAGAATTAGTTCCCAGACAAAAGACAGACACTTCATATTTATAGATTATTAAAATTATTAAAGTGAAATTTAGGAAATTTCCC